GAATTTCTCTTTAAAGATTGGAAGTGGAAAAATCCTTTATTTTACTCATATTGACTTTACGGTCAGAAGAATTCACATGTTCCTTTCAGATTAGTGATACCCTGACCGGGATCATTCTTCCTAGCTGTTGACTTTTTCACATGTTCTTGATTTAAAGACAGAGAACTGCATCCAGATTTCCACCCAAAAGTCATGTTCTACTGAATGATCACCAGCATGAACCTCTAATTGCGTTGGTTTTTCAGACGTTTGGTGTGTGGCTTCAGCTGAAATCAATCCTATTTGACTTAATCAGAACAAGAACAATATCTGCAGGCTGGAAACCTTGATGGTGCTACAAATAAAATACATATGCGGAGGAAGAGGTTTAGGATATCCAGGGGACCTGTTTTTGCTAGTCTCCCTCCCACCGGGATCAGTTATGGGGTACTCCCTGTATGGAATTGATGAAGAAGTAAACAGAAGCTCAAAGGCCAGCCGTTGTTTATCTTCTCATCTATAGGACCGCACTTGTAGTTATGAGTTCGATAGGCTGCCAGCAAATATGTAGCAAGACTTCTCTGGGCCCTGATATTCAAAGTTGAAGTAGGGCCAACAATATGTATCATACAATATACCAAATGTTTGAGCACAGGAACCTGATAAACATACCTTAATAGAGGACCTATGGTGTCAACTGCATTACTTCCCTGTATTCTAACAGTAAAATGTGTCACAAATACTTTACCTTTCCTATATTTATTAAAAATTAGCAGTTATTTGTCCTATGAAACTGCATGTACATTTGTTCTGTGTAAATGTTAGTAAACCATATGTTACTAGGCTTTTTTCTCTACATGCCAGATCTTCTTCAGGAAAATACTGTATTATAGCCCTTAGATGGAGTGATGATCATAGTAAATATGTATTTCCTATGATCATCAGCTCTATCTAGAAGCCATAATGTGCCAAAGATCATGTGACCAAATGCCAGCACATGAGTCATTCTCAGGACAAGGTAGGCATTTGTGAACTGTCTGCAAGTTTTATATTAGAGCTTGGGAGGGTGTTATTTTTTAAGGAATGCTGCAATTTACACTCTAGGTCCTCTTTAGGCTTCCTTTGGTGCAGTAAGGACAATAGAGACTCAGAGGTTGATTTACTAAAACAGACGAGAACCCTTATTGAAAAAACTGAGCGACTATTCACTCCAATGGTCAGGGGTGGACTGGCCGGGGGCCGGCGATTGCCCTCTGGGCCAATCTGATGCCCCGTAAAAAGGCTGCACCACTTCTTCCACAGACATGCCTAAAGGATTCCTGGTGAAGAGGAGTATAAAGCCTCTGCTGGCGTCCTACCGGGTGCGGGATGAGGACAAGGACAGAGCGTAGACTGCCCCCTGTCATGGATGGTGTACACAATATCCAAGCAGAGTCCAGCTCCATGCCCCACCAGAGGCTCTCCTCCCCCAGCCAGCCCCGTCCGAGCCGCCCCAGCTCCCCCCTGCAGCCCCCCATCTACTCCCTGCCGAGCAATTCATGAACCCAGAGTTGGTGCAGCAGACACTGTCCAGTCTGACCCACCTGGTGAGCAGAGAGTACCTGGAGTGGAGCATCAGCCTGGTATGGGGGTTGGAAGGAGGCAAGGAAGAGAGAGAGTGGAGGGTGGCCGAGTCGCTGCACCATGCTCTGGATTGATTGTACTTACCCCCTTGGCCAAAAGTTGCCAGTCAGCCCCTGCCAATGGTCCAGTCATGTGAAAAATGTCTGCCCATGATTGGGTATCCTAGATGAACATGAGTTTACTTTTCACCTGACTGGATAAATGAAGTGAATATTCACACATTTTTTTCCAATGAAGATTCTCAACTTCTCAGAAGCATCATTTATGGATCACTGTGTGACACCCCTGGCCACCCTGAAGCCTTAGGTACTCTTTTCTCAACCAGACTTCTGCGTACCTTAGGTAACCTTTAGAGGTTGCTACAGGTACTTTGACAAGTGACCACTGATGGGTCGTTCTCCTGTTTTACACTGACCACCAATAACATAAGGCAACTTTCCACTGGCCATCAATGAAAGGGGGTAATACACTGAGTTTTAGTGTATGAGGACACTACAAATGTTACTGTCTGTTGGGGTTTTGGCCATTATTGGCAATCATTCAATTTCACGAATAGGGCTAAAAATAGTTTTTGCCATGTAGATCAGGTGGTGTTAAAAAATACTCCACCCTGATTGTCAATAATTCTAGATATGCCACATTCTTTTTCCTTTTATATAAAACTTTCTACAACTTGCAGACCATAATAATACACCATGAGTTGTACATACAATCGTTTTACTCAAAAACTATAGGCATATGAATATGAGTTTGCTACCCACCTCCTATCTACAGCAGCTATTAACAACGTCCACATGATCATGGAGTCTGTCTGTGGGAAATAATGCTGATTCAGCCAAAAATCATTTGTGAGGTTGAGTACTGATGTTGGATGAGAAGGCCTGGCTCACAATAATCATTAAAATTCATCTCAAAGGTGTTCTGTAGAGTTGAGGTTAGGGTTTTGTGAAGGTCACTTGGGTTCTTCCACAACAAACTCATTGAACCATGTTTTTATGGAGCCAGCTTTGTGCACACAAGGAAAAAGAAAATAGCCTTCATCACACTCTTGCCACACTGCTGAAAAAGCAAATTGTCTAAAATGTCCTTGTATTCTGTAGCATTAACAGCACTTTTTACTAAAAACACCTGAATAATTAGGATGGCTGTCCACATATGTTTGGCCATATAGTATACATTTAGACCAGGGGTATCCAAACTTCCTAAACAAAGGGCCAATTTAATGTCCTCTAGACTTTAGGGGGGTCAAAATGTGGCCAGTGGGAATAGAAAATGCTCTAAGCTTGGTGGTGAATGGGAGTAAATAAATTAGACAGCACCCGTAGTCAGTAGGAGAAGGAATAGCAACCCATGGTTTGTATCAGTGTAAATTGTAGTGCTCAATCACTGGTGTCAGTGGGAGGAAACATGCCCCATTGTTGGTGTCACTGGGAGAATAATTCCCCATTGATGTCAGTAGGAGGACTTATACCCCTTTGTTGGTGTCAATAGGAGGAATTATACCCCACTGTTGGTGTTGGTGAAAAGAATGGTGCCTCATTGCTGGTGTTATTGGAAGGAATGATGCCTCACTGCTGGTGTCAGTGGTAGGAATAGTGCCCGAGAGCCACATCTAGCCCATGGGATGCAGTTTGGAGACCACTGATTTAGACCATGGAGTCATATGCAGGGGCGGACTGACCATTTGTAAACTCGGGCACTGCCCGAGGGCCCGGGGTCAGTAGGGGGCCCCATGAGATGCCCCTGGTACCTTTTTCATAGGCTTTTTTGAGTTTGGGCAAGGACACAGGGGCCCCATGATCCCCTATTGCCCGGGGGCCCCATGAGTTGTCAGTCCGCCCCTGGTCATATGTGTGGAGTTAGGAAGCTTGACTGTTATACAAATTAGATGGCACTAAAGGAGTGTTCCCTGCAGGATAGCCTCATATTCTCCTAGGCAGATAGATCATATCCCCTAAATTTGCTGCTAGTTTGATTAGAACGCTCCTGTAAATGTACTGTCAGTTTAACCCAGAAACAGGGAAAATGGTGATGTTTTAACAGATTTAAAAAGGTCACCAACTGCTAAGCTGGCAATGTGTTCATAAAAGCGTGATATTATTAAATATCGCTCACACACACACATATGATGGGCAGGGGGTTTCCAGAGGGCTCTCACTGGGGTTAAGTGCACAACTGTCAGTCACCATTTAAAGCCCTTGTGTCAGGTCATTAAAAGTATATGGACTTTCCCTGGGTATAATGAGGATAATATTACTTCAAGTGAATGATCCTATGTGACAAATCATAGTCATGGAAGAAGGATAGCACATCCTTGTGCAGCTCATAGGGACTGAAAGAAGAGAGGCCTTGGAGGAAAGAGAAAAAAAAATACTGATAGTAGGACATTTACAAATGAAATACTTCCTAAAGCACACTTTTCATTCATGAGACCCACTATAACCCTTTTACTTCTGTTGGCAGTACAATAAATATTTGATTATATCCTGTAATGATCTTGACATACATGAGCAATAACTAGCTTTGGTTAAAGAAAATCAACAGCGTAGGTTGAAAAAATAGTCAGGAAATGTTTTGTTTTTCAGGCATGTAACATTATATGTGCAAAATGAAATTGGGTGCAAAATTGAAGTATGAACCATTTGAACTTCTAGGAGATTTGCAACTCAGTTTAGCTTTCTGGTCATACAGTCACCTCTGCCAGACAATACAGCCAGTTCTGTGACCTTACCCTTTCTGATTTGCAGTTCAGCTGTAATACCTGGTCAAGCACCCACCCCAGTCTACTGATTGGCCAGTAAAGATCCAGCAACAATGAAATCCCTGTTTTCTACCCTTCTACGCAGGGCTCTTTTTCTCAGAGAATAGGTGCAGGAACTCCCCCCCTTCCGAGTCACCTCTTGTCTCTACCTCCTACCCAACTCCGAGCACCGTTCCTTAGTTTAACCCTACCCACCTCCCAGTACCACCCCTTTTATAGAATACAGACCCAGGTATCATTTTGTGATGCTAAGTAATTTGTATGGAATTTGATAATGATAGCAAGAAAAACAGTAAAACAGATCCTCTGCAGCCAGTGAAAATAGATCCCCCCAGGAACATTAGACCTTCCCACCAACAATGGACCCCCCCCTCAACAAAATATTCTTCCAGCAACAATAGATCCCTCCCCGCAACAACTGACCACCCAGGAACAAAAGACCCATTTCCAGAAACAATAGATCCTCCACCAGCAACAATAGACCTCCCCAGCAACAATAGACCCCCCCTCCGCAAAAATAGATCTTTACATATATATATTGTGCATTCAAATCAGTCCCTAACCCTCAAGGGGTGTACAATCTAAGGCCCCTAATTTACATTCATACATACACATATTAGGTCAGGGGCGGACTGACCATTTGGAAACTCGGGCACTGCCCGAGGGCCTGGGGTCAGTAGGGGGCCCCATGAGATGCCCCTGGTACCTTTTTCATAGGCATTTTTGAGTTTGGGCAAGGACACAGGGTCCCCATGATCTCCTATTGCCCGGGGGGCCCCATGAGTTGTCAGTCCGCCCCTGTACTAGGTCCAATATAGACAGGAGCCAATTAACCTACCAGCTTGTCTTTGGAGTGTGGGAGGAAACCGGAGTACCCTGAGGAAGCCCACACAGGGAGAACATACAGGTTGGTGGTGCTGTGGTTGGGATTCGAACCAATTACCATAGTATTGCCAGGTGGAAGTGCTAACCATTTAGCCACTGTGCTGCCCATGTGCATATGTATACAGTACAAGGCCTCATGCACACTGCTGCTCCTAAAAACTTTTTTTTTTTTTTTTTTTTTTTGCCAAAGCATCTGGACACAACTCATTAAAAGCCTATGGGGTTATTTACTAAAACTGGAGAGTGCAAAAACTGGTGCAGCTCTGCATAGAAACCAATCAGCTTCCAGGTTTTTTATTATAAAAGCTTACCGTGACAAGCTGTTTGGCTACCATGCACAGCTCCACCAGATTCTGGGTGCACCAGTTTTTAGTAAATCTCCCCTTATGTGTCCATGTACACATAGGCTTTTAACCAGAGTTTGGGAGCAGCAGAGTTTAGAGGCAGTTAAAATGGAAGTAAAGACCACTTTGTAAATTGTACCTACAGGTGACCCTATAATAAGGCTTACCTGTAGATACAGTGAATATCTCCTAAACTTGCAGGGTTTAGGAGATTCTCACACCGCATGCAGCCAGTGATGTCACAGCGTGCCGAACCTTCAGAGCTCTGTTCCATAACTCAGGGCTACTGAGATCATGTGCGGGAGTAACGTCATCGTGGCTTCGGCCATTCATACTGCCAGAGCCCATGAACCCAGAAGGAAGACTGGATGAAGATGGTGGTGCCATGACAGCGCTACGCTGTAGGTCTCCATGTACAGGTAAGTCTGTCATAATATACTAGTATGCGGTGCATAGTAGTACATTATGGCCTAAACCTGCAGAGGCCCATAGTTTTGTTTTGCTTTTTCAGGCGGTTTACTACCGCTTTAAATGTTCCTCTCCTGAATGCAGAAGAATCACGATCAGGAGAGGACCGTTTTGGCAAAAAGAAAGAGCCGAATACGGCAAAAACACATGTAAACGCGCCTAAGCAATAGCCACGTTTAGCGATTGGGCATTTATTAATGCGGCAAGTACTCTGGTCAATGAAACGAATAAACTTCCAAGTGCTAAATCAGGGGCGGACTGACAACTCATGGGGCCCTGGGCAATAGGGGATCATGGGGCCCCTGTGTCCTTGCCCAAACTCAAAAAAGCCTATGAAAAAGGTACCAGGGGCATCTCATGGGGCCCCCTACTGACCCCAGGCCCTCGGGCAGTGCCCGAGTTTCCAAATGGTCAGTCCACCCCTGTGCTAAATGCAGTACCACGTTTTACATGTGTTTTTGCCACGTTTAGTATTTCTCTGCTGCCAGGAGAGTTAACATCTTAAAAAATTGCTGCTTCTCCAGGAGTTTTGTGTTTTGCCTGCAGAAGCAGCTCAGTGTTATCCTATGTGTCCGTGCACATTAGAACAATTAGAGGTATTGTTTAGGCTCGATGTTTAGAGGCAGGGAAAAAAAACCTTCTGGTTTGTGTTTTTGATTGGAGCTTTGTGGCAGAAAAAATGCTAAACTCCAATAAACTGTACAAAAATGCTCTAAAACCCGCCTTGATTTGCTTTGAGAGCCATTTTGTGGCAGAAAGAAAATGCTGAATTCTCCCAAACTCTCCTAAACGCTCATAAACTTTGAATCCTTTTTCTGCCAAAGGAGCTGACGTCTTTTAAGCCCAGTGTGCATGGACCAGGGGCGGACTGACCATTTGGTAACTTGGGCACTGCCCGAGGGCCCGGGTCAGTAGGGGGCCCCGTGAGATGCCCCTGGTACCTTTTTCATAGGCTTTTTTTGAGTTTGGGCAAGGACACAGGGGCCCCATGATCCCCTATTGCCCGGGGGCCCCATGAGTTGTCAGTCTGCCCCTGGCATGGACCCTTCAAATACTAGTCTTCATGCACACTTGACATTTTTACAGCGGCTGTTTTTGGCTTTTGATGTTTTTTTCTACAGCCAGTAAACCCCCCAGCATGTTATCCTATGTGTCCATGCACACAGACTGTAATCAATGTTTTTTGGCTGGAAAAAAACCCCCAGAGCTAGTGGGTTTCTAGAGGAGTATAAATGCACTAACGCTAAAAAACGCAGCAGAATGCTGCTAAACGCTAATGCAAAAACATTAGAAAAAAGCTGAAAATCTCACGTTTTTAACGTGACTTTACACGACTAATGTTACCAGCATTATCAAAACACCGAGCGTGCATGAGGGCTTAGCACTACAGTATGCAAAGCAATAGTGCCCTACTTGGATTTAGTGCTGATCCACCCTCTCCCAGTTTGACTGTTGCTGAGCAGAAACAGCAATCCGTTAGTTATGCTTGTTGTAGTTAAAATAACATATTTTCTAAAAAAATATATAACATTTTACTTTTTTAATATATACACCTAGAGGTCAGCTTTAAAAAAAACTTGATTATTTTATAGAATGTAAGCAATGAATAAAATCTGTATTGAAAATTGTGTGACACAAATTAACTGTTTGTAGTCATGTACATTGCACCACGTAGGACTACGTAAATGGGTGACCACAGGATGGGTGATCGGCCAAATGGTTCGAAAGACAGTAGTAACCTGTGACTTCCACTTTAAGGCTCCATGTACACTGCAGCTGATAAACTCATGTTTAGGAGCTTTTCTGCATTTTTTTCAGCAGCCCCTGAACTCACCCTAATGTTTTCCTATGTGTCCATGTACACTATGTTGTTTACAGGCAGTTGAGTTTACAGTTGTTGTTTTTTAACGCACCAAACTTGCGTTCAGGAGTAGATTTTATCAAACGCCAAATGCTTGTAAATGCGGCTAACTGCGTTTATAAGCGTTAGCATTTGGAAAAAAAATTTTAACTCTTCCATTTCCAGATGCTGTCCAGAGCTTTTTTCATCATGAAAAATGCATGCAAAGCGTTTTCCTGGTACTCAAATGGACCTGGTACACCATACTTTGAGGTTTGCATGAAAGAAAATATGTTAGACACTGCTACAATAATTTCTGCACAGAAATGAGCTGGAACACATCCACACAAAAAAAAAAACACAGCTAATCTCAACAAATACTGCTCTCTCTGCTTCTGCTCTCTCTATTTCTCTCAAAATGTCTGAAATAGTTAATTTTTTACTGTTTTGCAGTGCATTCTGGGCATTTTGGAAGGTCTCCTGAGGTTATGGTTAAAAAAACGATTCTAAACGCAAATGCTCATAAACACGCATAAACGAGTTATGCAAACGCAGCTAAACAGACGGTTTTTAACCTACGTTTTCTAGCAGTCAGTTTCCATCATTCAGAAGTGTCCCGTGTACATGGAGCTTAAAGGTGATGCAATGTTAAAAGCAATAATGCATGACCGGTTCAGTATAGTACAACACATGCATACAATCAGGGCTTGTTTTCACAGAGAATAGGTGCAGGTACTCTCTCCTTTTGAGTCACCCCTTGTCTCTGCTCCCTACCCACCTCCAAGCACCATGCCTTTGTTCCACCCCTCACCCACCTCCTAGTGCTGCCCCTTTTAGAGAATTCAGAATCATGTATCATTTTGTGGTGCTAAGTAATTTGTATTGAATTTGTTAACAATAAGGAAAGCAGTCAAATAGATTCCTAGCATTCAGCAAACAAATAGACTCCCTTAGCAACAAAGGCTCTCCCCAGCAACAATAGACCCCCCCCAGCAACAACATTGGATACCCCAATAACAATAGACCCACCCAGCAACAATATATCCCCTAGCAATATGACATCCCCCCAGCAACAATAAACCTACTACAAGAAAATACTCATCCAGTAACAATAGATCCACCCCAGCAACAATAGCCCAGCAGCAATACATCTACTAGCAACTAGCAGCAATAGACCCTCTAGTAGCCAGAATTAATAGACCCATCCCTCAACAGTAGATCTCAGACAGCAAAAACTGCCCCCTGTAACAATATATCCCCCTCCAGCAACAATAGACCCCCACACACACAAAATATCCCCCCCCCCATAGGCAGTAACCTTCTAAGTGAGTCCAGGGTAGCTCTGGTAACACAGATGAATAGCTGTGGGCATTCAAGGCCTATCCCACTGGAACTGTGGTACTCTGTTAGCAATCAGGTAGGTAATCCCCACAGAAAGAGTCTTTTGGAGAAGCAGTGTTCTATTAGGCCCTGGTCTGGCTGCCTGCACACTGGCTCTGACAATGGAGGGCCTATCACCAGGCTGCAGATCACCTGCTATCACTGCCTCATCAGGTGTGGTTTGGTCTTTCTGATCTGCTGAGGGAGGAAAGCTGAGGACCTTATCTTCCCTGGGTATGTCCAGGAACCCAGGGAGTTGTGGATAAAGAAAAAATAAATGGGTTTGCACTAGCATTTGAGTATGGTGAGTGGATGGGCACTCTGCTACAGGTACATGACAACAATCATGCATAGAAATCCTAATTAATCATAAGAAATAAGAAGTTTTAGTCATTTTCCTTCAGTTATAATATGTTCTTGATTTATTCTGCCTCTCACATAAGAGGACCCATCACAGGCAATGCTTGTACAAACAGAGGGTGCACAGGCCTAGTGCATTACCATAAAAGAGTGGCTCTGAGGAAGAGGCAAGTCCTCGAAACGCGTCAGCCTATTGGATGACTACACTCCCTATTGCGGACTGTTACTCAGCAGCGGTGTTGACCCAGCTGTTCTTTTATGATGTGCCTTGACGTTATTGTCGTTTGTGAGTACAACACCTACGTTATTTCTTATTAAACATTTTTTATGGTAATGCACTAGGCCTGTGCGCCCTCTGTTTGTTCTTTTCTCATTCAGTATATTTGGATTCCCCCGGTCTATTTGAGGGCAGCAATGTGTGCATGTTCCAGGACATTCTTAATGTGGTTGTAGCCTACATCGGCTCCATCCCCAAGCGCAGGAGCATTTGTGTTTGCTAATGCTTGTACAAGCCTGCCTAAACTTGTGGTCAGGGGCAGACTGACCATTGGGGAACTTGGGACTGCCCAAGGGCCCGGGGTCAGTAGGGGGCCCCATAAGATGTCCCTGGTACCTTTCATAGGCTTTTTTTGGGTGTGATTTGAGTGTGGGCGAGGACACAGGGGCCCCATGATCCCCTATTGCCCAGGGGACCCCATGAGTTGTCAGTCCGCCCCTGCTTGTGGTACCAGAAAAGCTGTATCTGCAGGTTACCAGAGCTTGGCTTCCAGACTAATGTCTTTTGTGCTATGGTGGGAGGCAAGAACTTTTAGGCCAGTAATTTTTTCCTCATGCTTGCTTGTAGTCAATCAAGCCTTACAAGTGTCTGGGGGAACATTAATCAATGGGTTATCTTCCTATGGATCCTAGAGGTCAGCAGCCAGGTCAATTTTCAGGTGAAAGATAAGTTAGCCAAATGATAGGTCAATGAATAAGAATGGACAAAAGCATTCAGATTTATGTTAGCCAACATGAGTACTACTACTACTACTACGAGTTTATATAGCGCCAAAGGGTTTGCTCAGCGCTGTACAATAGGGGGACAATACATGGCACATTTGTACTTGAGTACAAGTAGGCTTAGCCGATAAAGAGTACCACAGTATAACCGTCATGTTCTCAGTAGCACCTTAGGGTTGGTAGATGCTATACTTGGTTCTTCCAGTGAAAAAAGGTTTAATGTATTTTGGAACTTTTATGTTCTTCTAGACCTATGTGTGTTACCATGGTTGTGGTACCAACCTCTAAAAGAGTTAAAGCCTAAAGCCAAATTTTCAATTTATTTTTCGGTTTAGAATTGGGGGGGTAGGGAAGGGTTAAATCCATGTTTTTCTTCTTTTTTTTTGCTATCTATTTCTCACTCTCAAGATATCCCTTTTCTTCTTGTCCTGTAGACACAACAAGAATGGAGAAGAAATATCTCTGATTTTAGAGAAAGCTCACCTTATGCCTTGTATATACGATGAGAATATTGGACAAAAATAACAGCTTTCAGATCGATTGTTTGGTGATCGGATCATCAGTACACAGCTTCCGATGTCCGATCACAACAATTAGATTAATCCAATTAGAGTGCCAAGCAAAAGTCTAATTTATTTTTTGGTTTGGAATTGAGGGGTAGGGAAGGATTAAATCCATGTTTTTCTTCTTTTTTTCTATTTCTCATTCTCAAGATATCCCTTCTCTTCTTGTCCTGTAGACACAACAAGAATGAAGAAGAAATATCTCTGATCTTAGAGAAAGCCCAACTTATTCTAGTACACAAGATGAGAATATCGGACAAAAATAACCACTTTCAGAGCGATCGTTTGGTGATCTGATCATCAGTACACAGCTTCCAATGTCCAATTACAACAGTTTAGATTAATCCAATTAGAGTGCCAAGCAACAGTCTAAGAGCTCAAAGTTTTGTAGCGCTACCCCATAGGGGCTGTTGGTATTATTTGGTTCTTCCCTAACAAATACAAAGGCTGCCTGTCTCCACAAGCACCACAATCCATTCACACAATAACACATGTAATGCTATGTTCATGGGATGATAGCCAATTGATGAATGTAATTATTCAGAAACTTTATTTATTAAGAAAAAAACAAATAATTGAATAATTGACTGAATGGAAAGGTAAAAGTTATTTTTTCCCTGTTCGGGGTTTAGTTTCAAGTCAACATTAGTATGAAATAAAATTAAATTATACACAATATAAATTAGATACAATTAATATAAAATTGAATATAATTAAAATATATAGTTTTGGAACTGTACAATTCATTATATGAAATTTAATTATACACTATTAAAATATCCACAAATTATTATTATTTTTTTAACATAAAAAAATAGAAATAAGCAGTAATTAAAAGGGGTATGCAGCTGTACTAAGCTTATAACAAATAAAGTAAAATAACTTGGAATTTCCCAGAGTGAACTATATTATCAGTACATATTAATACTGTACACTACATCATGATAACATTTAAAGATTATGAAGACACATAACAGGAATGGAAAGCCTTCTCAGAATTTACACTATGTAGTGGAAGCCTGTAATTCCAGGCCTGACAATATAGAATGGTACTAAATCACCAAATATAGACTGCCTTGAATTGACATTGTACCAGGGGCGGACTGACCATTTGGAAACTCGGGCACTGCCTGAGGGCCCAGGGTCAGTAGGGGGCCCCATAAGATGCCCCTGGTTACCTTTTTCATAGGCTTTTTTGAGTTTGGGCAAGGACACAGGGGCCCCATGATCCCCTATTGCCCGGGGGCCCCATGAGTTGTCAGTGCGCCCCTGCATTGTACCTTCTTGCATGAAGATGACAAAATTATATACACTATTTGACATTGTATTTCTAACAAAAACTAACCTAACTGGGCCTAGTTTTGGTAAAATTGTTACTGTTTTCTTGAAGCTAGCTGATTCAAAAGATTTTTTTAAACTACTGGAAATCAGAGGATATTGATCTTCAGAAAGAGTCTGTGTGATGGCAGCCTTGTACTTACAAGATATTGTTGTGATGCTGAACACAAAAGTGGCAGAAAGGGAATTAACATATTTTATTTATTCAATGCTTCATGTGTTGTTTCCTGTCGAAATTCTGCATTTTAGATGCTGAAAATGCAATACTGTATATATATATATATATATATATATATATATATATATATATATACACACAGGTGTACCTCAGTTTACGAATTTAATGCTTTCTCAGGGACATTTCATATTGCGAAAAATGTTTAAACCGCGGTTTCCCATAGGAATACATTGAAAACCAATTAATTTGTTCCGGAAGTCAGAAAAAAGTAAAAAAAAGTCACTGTGACTATAGGTCAGTGCCGGTTTTTGAATAATTACCAGCTTTTTTTTTCTTCACTATAGCTCAGAGAATCAGCTGTCACTTTCACCCCAGCTAAAAGAAAGAAAGTTTCCTTTTAGTTTATTTCCCCCAGTTAAAAGAAACAATGTTTCCTTTTAGTTTATTTCCTGAGATAAAAGAAACAAAGTATCCTTTAGCTCCGGGGAAAGTGACAGCTAATTCTGTGAGATATAGTGAATAAAAGAAAAGCCAGCAATTGCATTTAAAAATCGGTACTGACATCCGCTTTGTATTGCGAAAAAAAAAATTGTAAACCAACGTATTATTTTCAATGGATTTTCATTCGTAAACTGAGGTACACCTGTATATATAAAGTGTTATCAAAAAGTTTCAAGACTAGCTTTGTAAAACGCCAACATATGGCAGCACAGGACTGCAAGCACAGTCACAGGAAACACCGACCTTCACAAGTCAGTGTGCCAAAAGACATTGTCCTGTGTACATCGGGAGCTGTGCAACTGGTGCTATTCTGACCACGTGCGTTACCACGTCTGCTATTTGATCATGGACAGCAAGTTAGAACAAAGAGCAAATGTGAAATTCTGCTCGAAACTGGGCAAATCTATTACAGAGACGTTAGACAATGAGTCGTTCGAGATGTCAAAACACTTCGGGAGTGGAAGAACATCACTGATCAGAGATCAGGAAGACTGTCAACAAGCTCAATTCCCAAAAATGTCTGAACCATTCAGCAACTTGTGTATGATGATCATCGGAGAACAATCCACAACATTACTGCCATTGTCAGTGTGTCATAGGGAACAGTCCAGGCAATCCTCAAGTGTGATTTGAACATGCACTGTGTTGCTGCCAAGTTCACCCCCAGGCTGCTGTCCCAGGAGCAGAAGGAACACTGCATCAAAGTCTGCCAAGAGCTCAGTCAGTGTGCCGTGGATGGCCCGTCCTTCATGTTGAGGATCATTACCAGTGACAAAACTTAAGTGTATGGGTTTCACGCAGAATTTCACGTTTGTACTTTGTTCTAACTTGCTGTCCATGATGAAATAGCAGACGTGCCAATGTGTGTAGTCAGAATAGCACCAGTTGCACAGCTCCTGATGTACACAGGATGATGTCTTTTGGCACACTGACTTATGAATGTTGGTGCTCCCTGTGATTGTACAGCCTTGTGCTGTCATCTGCTGTTGTGTTATAAAACTCACTGAGCCACTAATCAAACTCATGTCAGTTTTTCAGTTCTGACTAGCAGGGTACCCCTTAATGGGTTCCCAAAACAAATTTGTACCTTTTTAGTATTCTATTGGCACTCAGCCTTTTCACCCAGCAGCAGGCTCCCACAGTTGACAGAGTGAGAGAGAGAGAGCCCAGAGAATCAGTCAGCTCACGTATAAAAAGGCCTATGGACAGCTGGAACTAATAATGAGGTTACCATGTAAGATATGGACCAATGAATGGAAACTTATTCCGACATAAAGCTTTGTGTATAATATCCTGTGTATGTATACTATCTTACAAATCATATATTTCAGTTCCTTATAGAGTTCTAGACCAGCCTTTCTCAACCAGGGTGCCCAGTCACCCTGGGGTGCCTTGTGGTCTCTTCACGGGTGCCTTGGCAAAATGTCTAAAAATTGCCTAAAACATGTATACAAGTCAGTGGGTGGAACAAGCCTACCTTTTAGTTACACAAAGCCACAGGTTTTCATTGTGTGCCATTACGACCTTCTAGCCGCGGGAGTCCTGACAACCAATGACAGCATCAGTTGATAAGGAGGATGTCAGCTGCCCGCACAGCATCCTAGTTTGACCCTTCCCCTGCCCCTCTCTATCAGTGCTGGGACCACATTAGCTCAGTGATAGAGAAAAACTGAGGGAGAAGAGAAACACAGGAATACTAGTCAGTACCAGTGTGCAAAAGTAAAATTTTCTTTGGAAGAATAAATCACCTCCAACGTTCGGTGTCCTACATGTGTGGATGTTGCTGCCTTATATAAAACTATTAGAATGGGGTGCCTCAAGACTGTCCATAATATAAAAGGGTGCCTCGGGACTGTCCATGATAGGAAAGGGTGCCTCAGGACCAGGGGTGGCGAACACGCGGCTCTAGAGCCGCGTGCGGCTCCCGGCCAAAATGAATGCGGCTCTTTGCCTCTTATCATATTTTGTATACTGTGGCTCTTTGCCAAGTTTCATCTTTCTTTGGGGAGGTGGGGAGCGGGTACCTGAATTTGACAGGTACCCGCTCTTACTTCTTTGTACTTTGATCTTACCTGTTCCTCTATCCAGCGGCGCGCTGTCTTCCGGCTTCTGTAGTGTGGGCACTGGGCATGACAGCCGGGTGCCAAGTGCGCATGTGCAAGAAGCGGTGCTTTTTGTGAATGGTAAGGCAGTACCTGGGACACATGACAGATCCCAGAAGCCGCCGGACCAATCACAAAGCGCAAGTGCTTCTCGCTCATGCGCACTTGGCACCCGGCTGTCATGCCGAGCGCCATTACAGAAGCCGGGAAGACAGCGCATGGCTGGATCGAGGAACAGGTAAGATCAAATAAAAACTCTGCGGAAGTAAGAGCGGGTACCTGTCAAATTCAGGTACCCGCTCCCCACCTCCCCAAAGGTCAGCAGTCATCTGTACTGTCCGCAGTCTCTGGTCATCCCTGTGCTGTCCGCAGTCTCTGGTCATCCCTGTGCTGTCCGCAGTCTCTGGTCATCCCTGTGCTGTCCGCAGTCTCTGGTCATCCCTGTGCTGTCCGCAGTCTCTGGTCATCCCTGTGCTGTCCGCAGTCTCTGGTCATCCCTGTACTGTCCGCAGTCTCTGGTCATCCCTGTGCTGTCCGCAGTCTCTGGTCATCCCTGTGCTGTCCGCAGTCTCTGGTCATCTCCTGTACTGTGTCTGCAGATTACTGAAAACAAAAGATGCCAGAAATCCCACTGAGATTATCATCCCATCACTCTAACAAGGTAACAAAATATGTGAGGTAGTTTGGAAAAAAACACCTGACTGAGCATGTTTGTGTTAATATTTTTAATACTCCATCAATTTATATTATACATCCCCTACCAGTGTTTCTGAAGTGAGTTCAGTAGTTGTGTGTATACTGTGTGTGTTAGAGTGAGAGAGAGAAGGGAGAGAGAGAGAGAGAGAGACAGGTGCCACAGCAACCTCCAGGGTAGTTGATGTGTTAACTCTGGCTAAATTTGCATTTGGTGTGTGTGTTGAGGGTGGACACTTACCTTGAAATGAACACATTGTTGTTTTGTAAGGGGAAGAAAGTGTTATGGTGAATAATATGGTTTTAATTATGTGTTTTTTGTGTGAGTGTTTGTCTGTTTTGGCAGGTCACTGCGTGGTGTGGCTCTCTGACTTTCACAGTTTAAAATTTTGGCTCTTTGTGTCTAACTTGTTCACCACCCCTGCTCAGGACTGTCCATAATATTAAAGGGTGCCTCGGGACTGTCCATTATTTTAAAGGGTGCCTCGGGACTGCAATATTAAAGGGTGCTTTGACTGAAAAAAGGTTGAGAAACACTGATCTAGACCATCAGACTTCACCAACACATCATCATCATAAGCTCAAGGCTAAGCCATTAAGTAATCACAGTGTAAGGATTGCTTTGGAGCTCAAATCCCCTTCATCAGACCCACAACTCTTGTTAGATGATTCTGGACATTTTTCAGGACTAATAGGCAAATTGCTGTAAAAAAGTCAAAGTGTGAAGAAGCTCAGAACTACTATAGGCAGACTTTACCATTGCCAAAAAAAATTCAAAAACAAAATACACGGGGGCAGGGTCCTGCTCATGCAGTTTTGAAAATGAAATAGAAAATGAGACATTTTCAAATCTTTTTATAGAGGTTTAAAGCTGTAGGTTGCATTTTCAATAGTTTTACAAAAAACAGTAGTTTTCAGAGTTTTAATAAGAATGCAAATATTTCCAGTATAGAGAGCAATAGAAAGCAGAAAAAAAGGCCATAAGCAACACGAGCTAATCAACACAGAGGAGTCACTGCCTGCATAAGGACAAACAGAATGAGTAACAGAATGGGCTGTTGGGATGCATTTAAGAAGGAAACAGCCCTACCACATGGGGTCTGCTCTACCTGTTGAAGAGATGCAGTCCACAACCTAGGGCAGGAGTGGCCTCGGCACTAACTTGGAACCAACATACTTTCAAGAGACATTCTCTATCATTGTATAGCTTTGGCTGAGGAATTACAGAGAGCAGCAGCACCAAAATCTGATTTCATTTGATTGATATCTGTTTTAAAAGTCTTTTTAAGATGTAGGCAGAAGTAGTAGCCCCAAACTACTGTCATTTTTGGGTCAGAAAAAAAGCTGACATTGCTAGTGCACCCTTTTCTTCATTATCCACTGCCCCTGCTGAAACTCTTGAAACTGGCTGTGATGGGAGTTACTTTGGGTGGGGGGCCCATGGAACCCAGCTCTCTTTGGAGAGGTGGGGAGACCCCTGTCTGAGCTCCCCATATCCCTATTATGTGTAAGTCACCCTGTGCCTGTTAGGGGT